ACGGTCTACGTTGATCCCCCATGGCCCGAAAGCATGTGTTTGGCGTTATGGCCAGTGGGGGAGTGCACGCGTCCGTCGCTATTTTGTACTATAATTTCTACTTCTGTTCAATTCGGAAATCTGCTGTTTAAATTTGTTATCATCACAAAAAATTTGATAGTATTTTTAATACGTTTGTATTCAAATTTATTTGATACTTCCCTGTATTGTTTAAAAATTAAATGCAAAGAATGAGAAATTCCGGAAACTAACCATAATCATAATCATTCGGCATCGGCACGTATTGGTAACCATAAATCATTCACCCACTTTAAAAATTTTATGTATATATGGTAAATATTATGACCTAAATTAAATTCTGATCTGATGTGAGCCGCTTTTGGTCCCATAAAATTTGAATTATGGATGTTTGGAATAATATCTTATTATTTAACTTTTAAGTTCTAAGGATTGAGGGATTGCCATATCAGTATAACCATTGTATATGTCCTCATTGTATATATAAGTTGAATATTGGATGTTAAATTTTACGTGTAATATTTCATAATAACTTTGTATAATTTAATAATAACTTAGGTAATAATTGTGTGTAATAATAAATAATTGAATAATACATTTCTTAAATCTTGTACTATATTTTTTTCCAATGTACTATAATAATCTCCCAGCTCGTGCTATAATAGCTTTCAATGGAGTTGGCAACATTGGTCGGCCGGCACTACTCGTCAGCCTTTCAGTTTGCTTGCACTTTGCAGTCAGTTAGTGTTGTTGATGTTGTGTTCAACTTAGAAATGGCGGATAGCTACGAAAAAGAACAAAATAAACTGAAAAAATTGTGGGAGGAGGTGCTTTCGGCTAGTGACGAAGACTTTTCTTCTGATGTGAGTGAATATGCGCCTTCAGACTCTGACATGTCCAGTTCAGAAGAGGATCCAGAGACACCTAGAAAAAAAATCAAGATTGTCCAATCTCCGGAGAAAACATTTGACTACACGTCCAAAGAAAATTTGCCAAGTACCTCTGCAAAAAGAGTGGTGTTTTCGACAGATCCACAGACATCTAAAAATTCAGTTCAGGTAACAGAAGCAGGCAATAATATTGACAATGTTATAGAGCATGTTATTCAACAGAATATTAATTACAATGATGAGACCCTGACAGATGAACTCACTGTTGAGCCTGCTGAAGTATTTTCATGGTCTGAAGTATCCGGTACGCACATGAAGAATTTTCAATTCACAGTGGGTAATCCTGGAATTCACGAGAACCTTTATGATTTTTATGAAAAAACTCCATACGATTTTTATAAATTAGTGGTTACCGATGAAATATTTGAGTTATTTGTTCGAGAGACAAATAGATATGCTGCACAAATAAAGGAGCAAACTACAAGACCAAGAGCACGTATTCAACGCTGGAATGACACGGATTGTTCGGAAATGGAAAAGTTTGTGGGGTGTATTTTGTGGATGGGCCTTGTTCAGTTGCCATCAATTTCATCCTATTGGTCTACAAATAAGTTATATCATAACTTCATAAAAACAGTAATGCCTAGGAATCGTTTTCAGTTGTTGCTAAAAAATTGGCATTTTGCAGATAATAATAATTTTCCTGAAGGTGACAGACTATATAAAATAACACCCCTTTTAACGAAGCTGTTAGAGAATTTTCAATCTCCAATTGTTCCAGGAGAATTTATCTGTATTGATGAAACGCTCGTGCCTTTTAAAGGCAAACTTAAATTTAAACAGTACATCAGCAACAAAAGACACAAATTTGGAATCAAGCTCTTTAAGCTCTGTCTTGAAAACGGATATCTTTATGATGCTTCTATCTACTGTGGACAGGAAAGAGAACCAAATCAGGAGCAGTCGGTACCATCTAATGTTGTTTTGAAACTAACAGAAAATTTACTAAACCAAGGTCGCACTATCGTCGTGGACAACTATTACACCTCTGTTGAATTAGCATCGAAACTTCTGGAAAAAAATACATATATTTTGGGTACTCTACGAAGCAACAGAAAGAACAACTCAAAAAATGTTGTTCAGAAAAAACTAAGACGCGGCGAACATATTGCCGAGGAAAGCAACACAGGAATATTTATAGAGAAATGGAAAGACAAAAGAGACGTCCTTATGTTGACAACTAAATATGTTCCTGAAATGGTCACTCAGGCGAGAAGGTCTGGCGAAAAAACCAAGCCAAGAAGTATCATAGAGTATAACAAACACAAAGCCTATATCGACATATCCGACCAAATGAAAGCTTACAATTCTTCTTTGCGCCGTGGAGTAAAATGGTATAGAAAACTGGCTATCGAATTTATAGCTGGTTCCTGTATTGTAAACGCTTATGTGCTGCATCAACTCATAACTAATCACAAAATGTCTATTACAAAATTCCGAGAAGAAGTAATCAAAGGTCTTCTAAAATCTGCAGATTTACCAAATTTCGAGGACAACCAGAAACTAAGTCACAATCTTGACGATAGTCAGAAGAAGAGGTCTTGTAGTGGATGCTATGCCAAAATTTCAGAGGAATCAGGGCGTCAAGTTGCCAAAAATAAGACCCCCAAAACCAAGTTTAGATGCAACGTATGTCAAAAACACTTTTGCTTGCAATGTTTTTTTGATTTACATATTTCTGAATTAAAATAAATATTTTGTTGCTAAAATTTTGATCAGATTTATTTTTCCCTCATAATTTTTTTTTTTATACTTACACAATGGCCAACTGATCTCCCATTTTGCTTAACATATCTACAAAAGATTTCCATATAGTTTACATTGAAATTTCGCATCAGTGTTATGCGATGGGGCCCTAAGTGATTTCTGGTCCGTCGGTTTACATTGATCCCCCACGGCCAGAAGAGATTAAAATGTTTAAGCAGAATGGGGGATCACGTTGATCCCCCATGGCACTTTAGGTGTTAAAGTGGTTATTTCCTTTCAGGTTTCCACTGACGATAGATTTAACAGTCCGAAAACGTTTTGTAATGTAATTGTGATAGCCCGTTTGGGCATTTTATTATATACCTTTTATAAAGGATTTGAAATTAAATTTTTTATTTAATAAGAACTTTCAATACTTCCAATAGCACAAAATGTGGCAGTCTCACTCAAAATGGAAAGTAGTTTTTCTAGATAAAAGGAGATTTAAAAAAACTACCAACTCGAGACGAATCAAACCAATAAAAGTACTAAATGAACTTCCGATCATAAGAAAAAACACTGAAGAGATAATGTTTTCAACGACATCACAAAATACGAAATTAGAAAATATTATTTTTCTTTTAATGAAAAATAGGACAACTGCCGTGTGATTTAAATATTCTCCAGAAGAACGTGAAATGTTAAAAGAATTTGTGCCTTGTAAGAAATATTATTTTAAACATGGAGTGATAGATGTGGTTGTTTTATGACATCAAAGTGTGTATTTTGCAATGTTTCATACTATAAGCCTGAGTAGTACTGTATCATAGTTAAAATAAATTAGTTTTCTCAGTTGTGTAGCCAGATTCTTTTTACATATAAAAAATAAGATAAACTTTAAAAATCATTAAATTCGCCTTTAAATTTAAAATTAGATCCCAAACCGACAAAAAAATTACATATAAGTTAAGGAACGTGATTGAATTATCAGTATTGATATTTTTCAAAAATAATCTAGACAATATCTGCATTTTTTCCTTGAGACCAACCTACAGACATGTATTTTTAAAAAAATATGTAGGCTTTATAATATGTTATATAATTAAAATCACCTTAAGATAACTTTTACAAACGCATGTTTTTTCACTGCAAAAGCCATAGGTGAATCAGAGGTTTCCAAAAAGTTGGAGTCGACTAAATGTAAACGGCTCTATGAAAAACTGTAAATTATCTATTTAACTATGTTTATAACAAATTTTTGAAATCATTTACAATATTACATAAAAAAAAGTTGAGAACTTCTGGAATAGATACAGATTAAACATATTTGAGTGGTATTCCTCAAGTAAAAAATACAAAAGTCTTACTTGACTTCTTATTAAAGTCATATTTCTTATTATAGTCATTGTTTACTGCCAGTATAGTCAGTGTAGTCATAATGAAAACTGTTACAAGGACCAAAGTTACCCCCAAACCGCGGGGTGGAAGTCAAGGTATAAAAATATTAAGCCATTATAAGAAATGTGTCGATGTTGATCATGTAGTAAAGTTGCCCAATACTATCAACGAAGAAGAGGATAGTCAAAGTTCAACTTCGTTGGTGTTTTTAGACGATCCTGCAACAGTTAAGCCAATTGGATATAGATCATTTACAAGAGATGTACCAGCATCATCCACTCCTGCGAACCATATGGAAGAAGATGAAATTTCCAGTGACGAAGAATTAGAATACAATCTACTGCAAGCAGAAGTTAAAGGTCAGTTTCATCAAAACCCAGAAGGCATCACAGTAAACTCAATTGTCGAGGAAACAGTTGACAATCTCCCTGAAAATAACGTTGACGGAGAAAATTACATGGAAGCTGGTCATGATGAATTTGTCTTTAATGAAGATGCTCAAGATATATCTCATATTCAATCTACTGCCGATAACTCCATGGATGAAACATTTAACTATGATGAAGAGGTTCGTTTCGAAAATGAGGAACAATTTCAAATGAAGAAGATAGTGGGAAAATTTATTAATGTAAACAAAAATTTTCTTATAGACAAAACAGAAAAAATGCTACGTATAGAAAGGAAGCTGAAACAATGTGCAGAAAAAGAGACAGAACTCCTAGCAAGTATAAATAGAATGAAAAAGAAGAAAACACAGCTTCAAACTACATTAAATTCTATAGATAAAAAATTTTATCAATAAATAAAATTACAAAACATATTTATAATTGTAATATTTAAATCAAATAAAAAAATCTTCATTATTTTTGTTTCATTATTATTTCACTAAACAGACATAATAACGTTAGAAATGGATATAAAAGAGGTAGGTTTCCTATTACAAACAAAATGAGAGTATGTATGTTAAGGTAACTTGGGTAATCTACAACGGATATAATATGACATTTGCGTTGATATAACACAGGACATTAACTTAAACATGACTTAAAGCTTGTAAGACATTAATTAGAAAAATCGATCTCCTTATAGAGAAAAATGAATGATATTTCCATGAATGATGATTTATATACCATTTTGCTGTAAGCCACTATTTACTCATACGAAATATGCCAAGAAAAACAATAATGTTACCTTATATGGAGGCTTGTTATTCAAAAACCAGTATCATATGAATATCAATTTGTGTCTACTCCTAAATTGTCACGAAATATTGCTGAAGTCCCTCCTTCAGGTAGACCTCAATGAGAAATAAGAGAACCTCACTTAAAGGATTATGTACAATAGTTGTAATCTTTAGTATAAGATAGTATAGTGTTTTGTAGAATTTTGTTGAATTTATATAAATGGCTTAAAAGGGGGAGATGTTCTGTTTCAAATTCAAGGGGGGATTTCAAAAACAAGTTTTATTGGAATCACAAAGATTGCGTACTTGGAGATATAGTTATCTCTCTGACATTAGTAAATATAGATTAGAAAATAGATCTATCATTTACCTGAATAAAACATGGTTCGATACACACGATACAGTACAAAAAGGATGGATCGATTCTATAATATCTGTACTACTTCTTATAGTAGAAACTGCCAGACAAAAGCACCTTCAAACAAAGGAAAACGCATAACAATAATTCACGCTGGTTCGGAAGACGGATGGGTCCCAAACTGCTTGCTGTTATCTGCGAAGAATATCAAAGACTCTAGCTTGGACTACCACCAAGATACAAGTGGAGAACTTTTTGAAAACTAGTTTCAAAATTATCTTTTAAAAAATAGCCCAAACAATAGTGTCATTGTAATGGATAACGTAAGCTATCACAGTCGTCAGCTTCAAAAAGCGCCAAACAGAGTAAGTACTAAAAGTGAAATTCAGGAGTATTTGTTAGAAAATGTTATTTATTTTGAGTTTAGTTACAAGAACGAGCAACTACTGGAATTGTTAAATACTTTTGATATTAAAAAGCAATATGTATGTGACAACTTAGCAGAACAGATGGGACATACTGTGTTACGTCTTCCTCCATACCATTGCGTATTCAACCCCATTAAACATGTGGCACCAAGTAAAAGCAAAGGTAAGAGCGGAAAATGTCTCTCCTACCCTGAGTGCGACTGTCATAGGGTTGATTAAAACTATTATAAATAATATATCAGTTGAAAGCTGGAAAAACTCAGTACAGCATATTGTAAAAGTTGAACATTCTTATTTGTCTACGCAAAGATTTAATATACAGCCCATTGTGATTAAGTTAAATGATGACTCCGACGGTAAAACAGAATTGATCTTAGAATAACAACACAGAATAATAATCATAATTAATTTAGTTTTAATCTAGTATTGTTATGTTTCGAATGTAAATAAAATAAGTATTAGAATAACAACATCGATATTTAATAATAGGGAGTTTTTGGTCATGGCTTTCTGACACTTCGTTAACGTTATGTTTATTTGACGTCTGCGCAGTTGCGATTTGGCTAGCCGTTGTCGTTATTAAACATAAGGACTGGCGGTAATTACAGCGATATAAGAGTAATGGTTATCGTTATTTTTCTTGTTTGTGATTGGTTGGAAATTTTAAGGTTAGAATTTTTGTTGTAGATGAACAGCTGTTCACCAGTTGGTGTAGATCATGGCCTGGAATCTTATATGAACGACTTGGTTCATTCCCCCATCACTTTGACCCCAGCGAGTTAATAAAGAGAAATGACAGCCTATCTCTCTCACGAAGACTTTAACCAATCATAAACCAAATAACATAATCAAACGAAGCAATGTCAATTGTGTCAATCCAAATTAATGACAGATCTTCCGTTTGTTTACAAGTTTTCAATTTTATTTTATTATCTTTAACTTTCGTTTACATTTATTCTTAGTAATTTTAATTTAAATTTGGTTACTTAATTTTTAAAGTTTATTTTGAGTTACCTATTGTAGCAAAGAATTTTTGTGTTGTGCTAGTAACAAAACTAAACATGGTGAATTATTGTATTGTTCGTTGTGTACAAATCATGGAAAAATTACAAAAAGAATGATAGTAAGTTGTCAGAAAGCAAAAAATAAATAGTATTTAACTTCTGCAAATATGTGTAATAAATATTATGTAATTATTTTATAACTGTTTTATCTTAAACAACAAATAAATATACGTATATCTAGAAAAAATTGTGCATCTTATATCCTTATTTTCCAATAAATTTTAATTAGTAACGAAATAGCCCACAAGAGGCGCTAAAGGGTATGTATGTAAGGGGTGTTCATTCGAATTTGCCGCCAAAAGATGATTAGTATTGACCCCAGCCGCAAGGGGCCTAATGAACGAAATTTATACATTGAGTTGCCTATCTATTTCTACTATTATATTATTTATCTATGGTGTAGATAAGTAGTAAATATTCGATTCGTGTTCACTGTGAAATTTGGGAAGGTTTTAAGTTTTTCCGTTTTTTTATTTCAAAGTAAGTACGTAATCTTTAACAATATTAACTGGGTACCTACAGTGTGAGTCATTAAAAATATAATAGTGATTGAGTTCCTGTGCGTCAGGATTAAAGCATTACTGTATTTTTAAGGCCGTTTTATAAACTTATTGTTTGCCTTTACTGACGTTCATTGCTCTTGCTCTCTCTTTCCCGACATATACAAAATAATACTGAAAATTTGACCATAATATACCTATTGTGAACATTAAAAGACCCCTTGATATTTTACACCCTTCCAAATAATATGTAAACTTCAAAAACAATAAATTAAGGTCGTTAATTACTAATTACTTACTAATTACCCACATTTTATATAGACTCTAAGAAACCATGAGTGAACTTCCAAAGAAGAAAAGACTAAAGTTTCGAGATGAAGATGATTTAGCTCTTCTGAGGGAAGTCGTTGGACTCAACCCATTTGAAAATCCTCAAGCATATTTTCTCTGCTACAGGAAAAAAATTCCTAATTAAAACTTTAAAAGACCACCTGGATCTGCTGATACAAATTTGGCTGGAAAAGGCAAAGATATTTAAAGATAGGTGATTTTTTTAGGTATTACACATACATGTTTAGGTATTTTTTTACTTGAAAGTGATTATTTTCAGACAGAAAATTGTTTGGATTGGTCCAAACAATTTGCTGTGTATACACATTTATCATACATAAGGGAATATCAGCAAAATTTAATGCTATTTTATTGGCGACCTACACCAATTGAATAAATACTGACAGGGCCTGTAAAGACCTGTTTATTACAATCACAGGTGTTGCTAAGCTGGTCCTAGGAATGAATTATATATATATATATATATATATATATATATATATATATATATATATATATATATATATAAATTATTACAGATTATATATCAAGAATCAAGATTTATAATACAGATTATGTTAGAGAAGGTATATAATTGATTTTTTATGTATGTTTTAGATCTGGAATAGAAGAAGAACACACAGAAAAAGACAACCTCTGTCAAAATATTCATTGCCTTAGGATCGAGTTTAGAGGTAAAAAGTCAGAAAAGCAAAAGAAAAATGAAGGTATAGAAAAACGTGACTTTTGGGCCAATCAGAGCTACATACATTTCAATAAGGAGAATAATAGTTCTGATTATCTTGAGGTAGAAGATATGTGCATTGAAGTGGAAAACATTCCACAAGTAGAGGAAGCAGAGACCACTGGCAGTGTCTTACCTGACCATATGTAGGCAAGTATAGGTTAGTATTTTGGCTCTTTTATGAATACTTCGTCTTTGCATGCTATGTTCATTTATCGAACATTAGCGATCATGTTGGCTATAATAAGTTTGTTTGCAACATATCTGAAAATTGTTTAGCATTCTTCGACAGCACCATAATTCAATTAAATATGCTAATATTGAATATTCAATAAAGTATGTTATAGCTTCTACTCTCTTCTCAGCATAAATGACAGTATTCTTACTGATGATCATATACTTTGTTTTATGATGTTAAAGTATAGCCCATAATTATTGCACTGTTCTACAACATAATCCAATAGGTACTGTAATTCACTATCACTACTGGCAATCAGTATTATGTATTCTGTATATCTAAGATTATTTATTGGTTGCCAATTTATTACAATTCCACCTTGTATATTGCTCAAACTCTATTCTGTGTAAATGCCAACATTGCCAACCAGATGTGGACGGGAGACCAGCATTTGGCTTTGCCAATTTGACAGTGCCAACGGCCAACATTGGCATAGTGTGGACGCGCCTTTAGATATATACATTTTGTAACCTTGAAACGTCGTCTAATATTTTATAAATCGCGCGAATTGGTCAGTTATCACTTCGGTCGTGTTGACGATAACGCTGAGTTTTGAAACATTATATAGATGATTGTTATTGAAAATTGAGTGTGCAAAATTGTGTTTACTGTTTATTACACATCCACAAGTTATCTATAATATATATCTATAATATATATCTATTATAGTATTAGTTTTATCGAGCAATGCAATGCAATGCTCGACGAGCATCTAGCATTATTTTATGAGGTACCTACGGTAAATAATTTGTTTGTATAATTTATGATACAGAATGTAATTTTGATATTATTTTAGATGTCTAACTGGTGTATGAAAAAACCTCTATCAGATAAAGAATTGCAAGAAATAGTCGACAATTGGAATGATAGTGAAGACGATTGTGATGTAAGTGATATTGAGAACTTAAATGATGATGTAGATTTAGAAAATATAGACATATCAAAGATTCCAGTAGTATTTGAAGATGAGTTGAGTGGGGCAGATCTGGAAAATACAGCAGAAAATGACGGAGAACAAATAGAGAATATCGTAGACATAAGAAATGAATTAGATGAAAACGTTAATGAGACCGAAAACGAATATAAGAGGGAAGACTTAGATTAAAATCCTAATGATTTGCATTTATTTAAAGCAAATTCAAAAGTATTTTATGGAAAAAAAGAAATTTACTGTTAAATGAAGATGTTTTAGCATTCAAAGGTGATTCTTCATTACCTGCATGTGTACAAGAATTGTCTACTCCATTTCAATTTTTTAAATATTTTTTTGACGACAATCTATTGCAAGAGATTGTCAACCAATCTAATTTATACAGTGTTCAAAATAATCCTGCTAAGCCAGCCAACATTGGTACAGATGACATCAGTAAATTTATTGGAATATTGCTCTATATGAGTGGTTCAGTGCCAGAGTTGCCTAAGAGCCGTTTTACATGACCGAAATTTACTTCGAAACTGACGCTGATAACTACCATGAAAAATTATCTAATAAAAATATTAGATGTAAAACACAAGATTTACTCTGAAATTTCCCATGATAATTCTCAATATAAAAATTTAGAACCCGTTCTATATTCTAGAAAGTTTTCAGAGTAAAATGCGCGAGTTTCTGCGCAGAACGTTAAATAACACCGTAGGGTTTACGATAACATAACCTTTCCTTTATAATTACAACTTTGTTGATTACATGTGCTGGTTTGTTTATTGAGTGAAATATCTTTGCTGTTTGTAAGAAAATTTATAGTTTGTTGTTTTTTGCCACAGTTTTTGCTATTATTATAACTATGTCCATGTGGAATAGAGAGGCGGTTACTCTTCTTATAGAAGAATACAGGAAACAGACTAACCTATACAAAGTAAAATCAGCCAATTACAAAAACAGAAATATGTGAAGAACAGCTCTTGAACAATTGCAATCGGTAATGCAGGAATGTGTACCAAATGTTTCTGTTGCTGACTTGCAAGCCAAGTTTCAAAGCTTGAAGCAAAATGCTGTAAAGGAGTATAAAAAACATTTAAACTCTATGAAGAGTGGTGCAGGAGAAGAAGAGGTTAGCGATTGTATTTTGTATTAAAAATGGGTTACTTATTATTTTTTTTTTTTTAGATATATATGCCGTCACTGTGGTATTTTGACATTATAAGTTATGTTTTGGATAGTTGTCAACCCAGAGAATCTACTCACACAATCAATGTTGATACAATCAATACAACAGAAGATGTTGAGGATAGTATGATTGATGGGGACGGAACCAGTAATATGATGGATGCTACCGTTATATTTGATAGCGATGTAAGTGAAGAACCAATCCTTGAAGAACGTATAGCTGACGAAACTACCTTAGAACAAACACCTACAACTTGGATGCGCAAAGGTAGAGTAGGTTCTACATTTAGCGATGAGCCCAAAAGTAAAAAAAAAGAAAGGTGATGACCATTATCTCCAAATGGTTTCTACTAATTTAGCAAAGCTGAATACAACATTAGCGATGCCGCCAATGCCGAATCAAACACAAAAGGAGGAAATGGGAGGCAACGAACTGTTTGCAGCATTTGTTGCAAAACGCATGAACGAGATTGATGATTTGGACATTAGAGATGATTTCGAAGAAAAAATAATGTTGTTGAAGATAAATGTGACTTAACCGATACTAGTTTACTGGGAGCCATAGATTTGTTTTCAGATTTAGAGGTAGAATCCGCAGCTATGTTGTTTGACATTGATACTATTTGTGACAAAAGTACCGAAGCCAAACATATAAACCAAGATGATCAAGCATTTACTAAACCAGCTGAAGATTTTTTTGAGCCAGGTGATGCATTGCCTGAACATGATGAAAATGAACGGAAAACAGATACGGGCAATGAAGGTGAAAATAATGTAGAAAATCAAGAAAATATGGAACTTACAAAAAAAGGAAAGCCACGAAAAAGAAAAATAAAACAAGCAAGGGAGCCAAAGGACGTAATATGCTCAAAAAAATACAAAAAAATAAAGAGAACCATAAACTTAGACCCTCGTGCAATGAGTCTTGCAAAAGAAAGTGTATCACAAAAATAACTGAGGATCGACGAAAGTTGATTAATGAAGAATTTTGGAATCAGGATTGGACAGCAAGAAGGCTATTTATTCTTCATACTACAAAAAAAATGGATGTAAAAAGAAGGACCGCAAATACATTAACTGAAGACTTTAGAAGGAATAAGACCATAAACTTTTACCTTAAAGATGAAAAAGAAGAATCTTTTCAAGTATGTAAGACTTTTTATTTGTCAACACTAGGTTATAATAGTCACAATGACACAATTATAAAGTTAGTGTGCAATGCAACGGCTATATCAGTGGAAAAAGACAAACGAGGCTTACACCCGAAACACAAAAAAGTTGATCGAAAATCCATATATGATCATATTCAAAAATATCATCCATGCGTGTCGCACTACAGGCGAGAACACGCCCCAAACAAACTGTATCTACCGTCTGATATAACAATAAAAGACATGCACTCTGACTTTGTGCAAAGTAATCCCACTGTTAATTGTTCATATGAACTTTATAGAAATGTTGTAGTTAAGGAAAAAAAATTTCGTTTTCACCTCTCGGTAACGAAGAATGTGAAATATGTGAAAGCTTTAAGTTACATAATGATGCACATTCACAAGAAAATTTGTATCCAGAATGCGAAAACTGTCGAAAATGGGATAAACATATTAAACGTGCCAAAACTGCCCGTCAGATGTACAGAGATGATGTTCAAAAATCCATCGATTCCTCAACAATTTTTTTTTCCGCAGACTTACAAAAAGTCATTGTTGCCACGCCTCGAGATGTTCAAAAGTGTTCTCTTTACACAACGTATTATAGCTTTTAACGAAAGTTTCGTACCCATAGGAACAAACTCTAAAGGAAAACCTTTTGCAGTTATATGGCACGAAGCTACCGCAGGACGTAAAAAGGAAGAGATAATTAGTAGGGGAAAGGCGTGTACCTTGGGACGGTTTTACCTTGGGACAATCATTATAAAAATGTAACCGTTGTAGCGAGAAATCTGAGAAATTTGTAATATGATGGCAACACTGTCTCCACTTACATCAAACATTCGCGTTTCCGTCAGCAGCCATTTGATGTGACGACAAGTGTAAAACGTTTTGGTGTCCGTAAAGTAAATTTTATCCATCTTTATAAAATAATAGGAAAAGCACGGTAAGAACTATTGGTTGAATTTTTTCGGCGTATTTCGTCTTTATATATTTAATGCTCACTGTAAACTATATTTTATGAGAAAAAACTTTACTTTAAATTGATGAGGTTAGATTTAGTAAAACATGTGCTTGGTTGTACCTTGGGACGTTGTTATGGTTGTACGTAGGGACTTGTCCCAAGGTACAACCAGATATTTTTCTTCACCGTGTTAATGTTAATCTTATTGTTGCAGATGGGAAGAAGTGCTACAGGAAAAAAAAGGGTGAAACCAGATGCAGAAGCATTAGAAGCAGCTGCCAATGAGATACTGGCGCATAGTCGACCTTTGAGAGAAATAGCTAATCTGTATGGTGTTTCAAAAAGTACTCTTGGTAGGCATATTCAAAAACATAAAGTGTCTATAAAAGCGACTTTCAAGTATGAAGCGAATAATTCAACACGCAAAGTCTTCAGTACTGAACAAGAAAACGAACTGCTCACTTACATTATCAAAGCTGCACAGTGGAACTATGGTGTCACTGTTGAAGAAATGCGAAAACTAGCATATCAGTACGCCAAACTCAACAATGTGAACTACCCTGAATCATGGGATAATAATAAAACTGCTGGTAGACAATGGTACCGATGTTTTAGAACTTCTTATAATAACAAAATATCTCTTCGGAAGCCTGAAGCCACAAGCTTAGGTCGAATGGCCTGTTTCAACAAGCCAAACGTTTTAATATTTTTTGATAAATTGGAAGAAATTTATTCGAGATTAAAGTTAACACCTCAAAATGTGTGGAATCTCGATGAGACCGGCTGCCCTACTGTTCACAAGCCAGTTCGTGTGCTTGGCGATATAAAAGCTAAGCAAATTGGAGCAGCTACTTCTGGCGAGAGGGGTATTAATGTTACTATGATAGCCTGCGTTAGCGCTGCCGGAACATTTATTCCACCAGGTATAATTTTTCCACGTGTTCACTTCAAAGAGCACATGATTAACAACGCACCACCTGGAACTATTGGTATGGCAACTTCTAGTGGTTGGTCCAATGCTGAATTGTTCGTTGAATATCTTCAACATTTCATTTCAGTTGTGAAGCCATCTCCTGAAAATAAAGTGTTGCTTATCCTCGACAACCACGAAAGCCACCTCTCATTGGCTGCTATACACATAGCTAGGGATAATGGAATAGTAATTTTAACCTTTCCTCCGCATACCAGTCACAAACTTCAGCCGTTGGATAGGTCTGTGTTTGGTCCATTTAAAAATTATTTCAATAATGCTAGCAAAGATTGGATGCTGAACCATCCGGGAAAGCCTATATCTATTTACGACATGTCAGAGCTGATAGGAAAAGCATTCCCATTAGCGTTTACCCCAAATAACATTTCGTCAGGTTTCAAAGTAGCAGGTATATGGCCATTTAATGCAAACGTGTTCGGAGACCATGAGTTCTTACCAGCTGAGGTGACCAACAGGCCATATGAACCAAAACAAACTGATATTGAAGAGACAGAACTTATGGAAGTTGATGAAGCCATACCATCAACAAGCAGTGCGCCATGTTCCACTACTGGAATGACCCCTGAACAAATTCGCCCATTTCCGAAGGTTCCACCGCGTAAGACTGGTGGAAGGGGAAGGAGACCGGGAAGATGTATGATTGTCACAGACTCACCGGAGTTGCAGAAAATCAAGGAGCAGAAAATTAAAATATGTAAGCCAGTCCCGAGGAAAAAAGAGGCAGTCAAAAGAGCACTAGTTGTATCTTCTTCTTCGTCTGAAGACGAGCTCGAGCTTAAAGACATCTCTGATGGAAGCAGATTTGACTCAAGTTCCGAAGATGAAGATGTTCCTGATTTCTTTCCATCAGACAAAGTTGCACTCAATTTTACCATTGGCAGCTGGGTTGTGG